TTGGAGCACGATGTTCACGAGGATTTCCTCCGAAAACAAACTTCCCAGCTTCGCAATTTGGTCGCGAAGGCTCCGACAGCGATTGATGGAGCTGTTGGCCTTCTCCCTTGAGGGCATTTTGGTCTCCAGTAATTGCTGGAGTAGCCGGCTCGAAGAGACTGAGTCCTTTGGCTGATACGCACCGTTCAGATGGCGCCAAGCGTCGAGGGCTGGAGCAGCCGATGTCTTGTACGAGCGGATGTTCAACTGCTCCGCCGGCGACATGTTACGCAGGAGGATTCCGAATGCTATCAGGGACTCGTTGTAATAGCGAGTCCTGGCGCCGTCGGTGTCCTCAGCAGGCTCCGCGTAGGTGCCGTCGAAGTAATGGAAGATTTGAGCGTTCTGCAACAGGAGCTCCAATTTGTCAGAGGTCCACTGGTGATCCCCGATTGATCCTAGGGAAGGGTTACAGGCACGTTGGCCTCGGGGGTTATGGGCGCACTGACCCGATACTTAACAAGCCCTTTTATCCCAATGGTCTAGTGGTTGGGATTCTGACATGGTATCAGAGCGAAGGTCTCGGGTTCGAATCCCGGTGTATGCACTTCGGGCATCCTTGTACGGGGGGGGTATCAGAGGTCCACTGGTGATCCCCGATTGATCCTAGGGAAGGGTTACAGGCACGTTGGCCTGGGGGGTTATAAGCGCACTGACCCGCTACTTAATAAGCCCTTTTATCCCAATGGTCTAGTGGTTGGGATTCTGACACAATTCGAAGCTCCAGGTATAGAAATCTCTGCCGTCAAAGCAGGTACTTAACTTTGTTTTTTATAAGCTTAGAAACCTTGATTGCGCAGAGAGAATTGCCTCTTCATTGGGACGGGGAGCCCTGGGGGTTAAACCATTCGTGTCAAGGGAGAAAGTTTGCTGGGCGGGGTTCTGGCCAGTTGGGACCGGTTGTGAGGATGTTCCCGCGTCGCCGTTCCGCGATGTTTGGAGCCCTTGCTCCAAGCTGGTTAGTCGTTGGAGAAAGTTGTGCGAGGACTTCGGTTCCGATTGTCGCCGTATCCTAACTTGTCGCAGCCAGGTTGGTTTGCGCTTCAGCCGTCAGATTAGTCTGACCATCAGATCCTCCGGCCATTCTCACACGCGAGCGTGTGCCGGGCGCCACTTTTCGAATGTCGTAATCTTCAGGAGTGGTAGTGCGAAGAATTCCCAAGTCGCTCTAATACCATGTTGCAATCAAAGGATGATCGCTGCCAGGATCTTCTCAGGAATGTTTGCATGCAGATAGGTAGACTAGGTGGGCCCTTGACCTCAATAGCAGAGTGAATGTAAAATGCTTGAGATGAATTAAAACATGCAAATACAATGATATAAATACGAGTACAGGGGAATTCGAATCAACCTAGCTAGCCATGTACTCTAAGGAGTACATTCCCTTATTCAAATTCATTCCCAACCGTGCGGCGCGTACAGTTACGAAACCATTCCCGCCAGAACCCTCCTGCCTGTAGCTGCCCGATGCCGTGTGCTCCGGCGGTTCAGATGCATCCCAACTGTCTGACGCTTCGAGTCAATTCTGACTCTTCGCATTCGTTCTCGATACTACATGTTTCCTTAGTTGCGGTCGGGAGTGCACAGTAATGTTCTTACACATTACTATTCGTAACAAAACAAAGCTCAGGGTGGATCACAGTGTCACCACACAATCTGAGCACAAGCAACAAAGGCCACAAGGCCAGTCCAAGAGTTCACAAAGGTGTATGGCAAGCGTACAAGCAAAGCAAACGGTCAACTCAAGCCTACACACGACTAGAACCTGTGTTAACAAGACCTAACTGCACACAACACCTCTTGTTGTCACAAGGCGGAAGCGCCTTGGTAAAGATGTCTGCAGTGTTGGCCTCGGACTCCACAAACTCAAAGCGAGCCTGTCCAAGTCTCTGCAACTTTTGCAGAAGAAAGTACCTGACGTTAATGTGCTTCACTCTGCTCTTCAGTCGCAGCTCTCAACAGAGGAGAATCGACGCCTTGTTGTGAACAAGGTAGGTGCAGAGCTCGGCCGCTCACCAAGATCGGCGAGCAAGAAGGTCAACCAACGCAGCTCCTGTGCCGCCATGGCACCAGCGTAGATCTCAGCCTCAGCTGTAGAGGTCGAGACCGAAGAGGAGCGCGTGGACCTCCACGAAACAGCTCCAGAACCCAAGCTGAAACAGTACCCCTGAGTAGACCTGTGAGTCTCAACGTCGTCAGCGTAAGAAGAGTCACAGTGACCAGGATGTACGACAAATTGCTGCCCTCCAAGAACTAGCCCCACGCCTGATGTCGTCACTAGGTACTTTACCGCCCTCACAGCTGCCGTCCTGTGAACAGGACGGTGTCTACCTGGCGCAAAAAAGCGAGCAAGGATGCTGAGAGGGAAGGCGAGGTCCGGGCGAGTACAAGTCATCCGGTACATGAGGCAGCCCACCAACTCTGTGTAGGGACCACTAGACTCAAACGGCTCGTCAGGAAAGGGTCCAGTAAGTCTGTGGTCAACAGCAAGAGGTCTGCGCTGTACTGTGGAGTGCTGAAGCTCGAACCGCTGAAGAACCTACTGCACCATGTGTGAGTGTGAGAGTATAATGGTGCGAGCAGCTCTGTCTAGGGGATTTGCAGGCCAAGGTAGTGGCGCAACTCACCAAGGTCAGTGCACGTGTGTCTCTTCTGCAGTTCGGACTTCACGTCTGCCAAGGCAACCCTATTGGCAGTGGCAAAAACCAGGTCGTCGACGTAGACTAGAATAAAGAAAGGTGTGGAGCCACGACACACGAACAGCGACGGGTCGGCAGAAGACGGCTGGAAACCAAGGTCAGAGAGGGTAGAACAAAGGGTGTCGTGCCACTCACGAGGAGCCTGACGGAGACCGTAGACAGGTCGCCTCAGCCTCCACTGGGTCTCAGGAGGGAAAGTGCCAGTGAAGGTAGAGGGACAACGCAGCCACACCTCCTCGTGAAGGCTACCTTGAAGGAAAGCAGTGGAGAAGTCGAGAGAGTGTAACTCGTAGTCTCTCTGTGCTGCTACGTGTAGTAACACCCGAAGAGTGGTCATCTTCAGGGTAGGTGCGAAGGTCTGAAAGAAGTCAACTCCCTCGTGCTGACTAAAACCTCTAGCCTCATAGCGAGCCTTGAAGATAGGAGGAGATCCCGGTGGCCGCTTCGCCCTGTAAATCCACATGCCATCGACTACGTTCGCCCCAGGGGGGGGAACCTTGTCGACGTATGTGCCCGTGGATCTGTAGGAGGCCATCTCTTCGTCCATGGCAGCTCTCCACTAAGAGGCCCAAGGCCCTGACACTGCCTCAGCGTAAGTGCGAGGAGTCGGTATGTCAAGGGCGTCGGGGTCTCCCACAGGGGAGAGCAGCATGGCACAGAGATGAGGGGAAGTGGCTGCCAGGAACTCCAGCTCAATCTGCTTGTCCTCTAGGGCGTCACAGCCAAGGGCAGACTCACCCCCGACGGCCAAAGGACTGGTAGGAGGAGCAACCACGAGACAAGTGGCATAGTCAAGGCGGCGAATAGTGGCAAACTCAGTGACGACGACAGTAAGGGCGGAGACAGAGGATAGAGAGGCGAGAACACAGGGGAGAACAGGTCGGTACGTGCGGTAGTAGTTAGTGATAGGAGTAGAGAGGGAAGCAATGAAGGCTGACTCAGGAGGAGAAGGAAGCACAGACTAAGACGAACGAGGCGGACTAGGACGAAACAGGGTAGTACGAAGGTCAGTGAGAGCGACAGGGGACAAGGGACGAGCACGAGGAGAGCGATGAGAGGGCCAAGAGGGCAAAGGAGGGGGAGACAACGGAGTCGGAGAACGAGGGAGAACATCTGGGGAGGAGTCAGAAGGAGGAAACGTGGGACCGTAGACAGGAGGAGAGGGAGAGGGGAGACCGAGGGTCCGAAGACCAGAGACAGGAGGAGGAGGTGGCTGCGGCTGCTGCTCCTTGTGCGGCTGCGACAGCTGCGACTGCTGCTGCTGCTCCTGCGGCTGCTGCTGCTGCTGTTGCTACTGCTGTTGTTGTTGCTGCTGATGCTGCTGCTGCTGCTGCTGCTGCTGCTGCTGTTGCTGCTGCTGCTGCTGCTGCTGCTGCTGCTGCTGCTGCTGCTGCTGCTGTTGATCCTCCAGCCGCTGCCGCTTCTGCTGCTCCACCTCCAGCCGCTGCCGCTTCTGCTGCTCCACCTCCAGCCGCTGCAACTCTCTCTCCTCTCTCTCTAACTCCCACTGCTCCTCACGGGCAGGGCGAACACAAGCCTGGTGCCGGGTCGGGTAGGGGTGGGGGTAGGAGTAGTGTCCGGGGCCGCGGTAGCCCCAGGACCACCCTCCAAAGCACCCGGCGCACCACCCCCAGAGGCGGTACCACCAACAGCAACACGGCCAGGCTCACAAGGACCCGAAGGGGGCGCACCCGCACCCCCAGACGTAGAACCCCCAAAGTCAGCACCACCTACACCAGCTCCCTGAAGACGAGAGTCTCCTGCAGCCTCGGGCTCAGCCCCAACTCCAGCACCCCCAGAGCTAGCACCGACAGGGTCCTCGCCACAAACACCGGCTCCCGCAGGGTCTGCCGCAGGCTGCGAGGAGGACTGCGGGGAAGGAGGTTGTACTTGAGGGGCTACCGAAGGGGGAGGGGTAGCGTGGGACACACCTGACGGGGCTGGACCAGGGGGGGAGGCTGTACCGGGGGAGCAAGAGGGGGAGCGGAAGTCAGGAAGAGAGGGGGAGGAGGAACCGGGAGACCTCGGCAGGGGTACTTGACGTAGTAGGGGACGGACTCGTCGAAACCAACGTCACGCGAGTCAAAGAACTGGTGAAGGGGAGGGTAGTAAAAGGTGAAGTCAGAGGAGTCCTCTAAGAAACCAAGGAAGATACAAGGAACGACGCGAGGCGAGATCTTGTCCGCGGAGGTGTCGGGAACAAGAGCCAAGCAACCCCAGGCACAAAACCGCGACGCAACACTAGGGGACCCGGTCCAAAGACTAGTCGGTGAAACCTCTGGCCGAGAGACGTGGCCAGAGGTTCAGCTGGTGAGCGGCGTACCTAACCGCGTAGGGCCACTGAAAATGGGGGGTCAGGGCATGAGTCAAGGAGGTGCGGGCGATCTCCATGACCAAGCCTATGCGGCGCTCAGCAACCCCATTCTGCTGTGGGGACTCTGGAAGCGTCCACGACTGACGAATGCCCTGCTCGCGACAGAATCCAGCGAGAATTCCGGAGCGAAACTCACCCCCACGGTCGGATTGAAGACACCTGACTCGACGACCACGAGTGCCCTCAGTGGTAAGCAACCGCCTGATCAACGTATTAGTCATCTCAAACTTATTCGCAAGGGGGAACACTGTGGTGTAGCGGGAGTAGTAGTCAACGACCACCAGAAAGAAACGCTCACGCTCAAGGCCAAGGCGAGAGGCGGGGCCCCAGACGCCCAAGTGGAGCGTCTCAAAAGGCTCGGTGGCCGGACGAAGGGAGGAGGATTGAGGGGTGGCGCGCAACCTACCCTTGACGCAGGGACCGCACGGTGGTGCAAGCGAAGGCGGCAGCGACGGCAAGACACGTGGGAGGCCTAAAACAAGACGCTGACGAGACATAGTGCGTAGATGAGGGAGAGACGGGTGCCCCATCCGGTGGTGCCACAGAACGGTGGGGTGGGCAAGTGACATGCAGGAGCACGACGCAGCAAGTGGACAAGACACGGGAACCTGACCAAACGCAGCTACCTGGGGGACGTAGCAACCTGGTGAGACGCAGGGACCAGACTGGGGGAAGGATCAGGGGCCGGCGGCAGTAGTCGCTGCTGCTGCTGCTGCTGCCCACTAAAGCTAGTGTAAAGTGTGTAGAGACCAGAGCCCAGCTCAGCTGTAAAGGTGGCAAGAGGCGTGTTAGTGTCTCCGCCAACACAAACTGCCGTCTCACCAGAGGGCTCAATCCACACACCCACGTGCTGACTCACAAGAGGCCTCACGCCCACCAAGTTCCGCGAGAACGAGGGGACGTGGAAGCCAGTCAGAGACCCAGAGGGAACAGCAGGGCACGGAAGAGTAGTAGTGTAGCGAGCAGAGACTGGTCCCGAGGTGGGATCAGCCAGAGCCACAGAGACCGGCGCCGGAAGCAGAGTAAGTGTCGTGTTGTCCCAGAAGAAGCTGTGCGAAGCCCCAGAGTCCAAAGTGAAAGACAGCGAAGCGTCCTTCGAAGTAGCTCCTGGACTAGTATATACACAAGTGCCTACACTAGCAACAGGCCTCAGCAAGACTTTCACCTAAGCTAACAACACTCGAGTAAAGAGAGTCAGAAGCACTAGAGTGAATAACAGCATACAATGCATGAGGAGTTCCTAAGAGAGCAACCAACTGAAAAGCTGACCTGCCCCAAAGAGCGGAGCCGTAAGTCTGAACAAGAGGAAACCAGTCAGGGGTAGGGCCGCCAACGTCGAAGGCCAAACGAACTGTGTCAGTGAGCTGAGAAAAGCACTAGCTAGGAGGGTGGGTGCGGCCACAAGGCTGGCCTCGGCGAGCACCTGTCAAAAGCTGATAGGTGCACGAAGGGTTAACAACACCTCGCTGAGGCTGACGCTGTCCTGGCCCCAAAACCTGCTGCTGCCGCTGCTGCTGCGGGGGCTGCTGCAAGGGGAGGGGCTGTTGCTGCTGCTGCTGCCGCTGGGCCAGGTACCACGCCGCTCCTCCACCCGCCGCGGCCGGCAGACCAGAAGGTGGCTGACGAGCCCGGGCGTCGCCTCCACCAGCTGCAGTAGCGGAGTTACCGGCCGCTGCACGGGACGCCTCTCCAGGCGTTGCACTCCCGCCGCCACCAGTTGGCACGCCACCCCCGCCACCTCCGCCGCCAACGCCTCCACCGCCGCCGCCACCTGTACCATGACCGCCCCTCTTGCCACCTCTACCTCGAGACCGATAAGAAGTTGTAACACCAGCTGCGCTCACGTCAGTAGCAACAGTGGCGAGAGAGGTTGTAAAGGTGGGCAGCTGAAGGACAGTGCACCCGTGGAATAGTGGAGGGGGCACATCACCAGAGGCGGAGGCTACGAAGCAGAGGTTGCTCTCAACGTCCTTGAGCGTAGACTCAAGTACCTCGATAGTGAGCTCACTAGGGTGCTTCAGAAGAAGGGTGTCACGGACTGAGGCAAGGCGGTCAGGGAGGCTAGTGGCGATGAAACAGATAGTAATCGCCATGGGGGGAGAGAGCAGTGCAAGCTGTGCCTCAGTGCAAGCAGCGCAGTGGCTAGAATCAAGCGAGCGGAGGTGAGTGATCAAGTCAGCAGAGCGCTCAAACGAGGCGAGGTCGGAGAACAGGAACGGTAGGAAGAGTCGGCCAAGAGAGACAGTGGTGGGAGTAGTGTAGCGGGCCTTAATCGTAGTCAGGAACTCACTAGCAGTGCAAACCTGAGTGAAGTGGACCTCCTCAGACTCAGGGAGGAGGCTGCTAAGAGCAATGCAGACCGCAGCGTCACGCGACCTCCACGTCGTCTGGCCAGTATGTTGGCGGGTGAAGCGGTCCCTGGCTGCGTCGTCAGGGGCGGTGCCTAAAGGCGTAGGGTCGTCGGGCGCTGGAAGGTCACCAGTAGCGTGCGCCCAAAGGGACTCGCCCGCCTAGGGGTCGCCATAGTGTAAGTAGAAGCGACAAGTCCAGCGGTGGGTGGCACTGGTAGGGACGGTGGGCGGCTAGGGCAAGTCCGTGACGGGCGCAAAACGCGGGCGCAACGGGGCTAGGGGCGGTCCTGCGGGAGACTGAACAAGTAGGCGCAGCGGTGCGAAGGAAGGGGCTAACGAGCGGGTCCATAGCGGACCTAACGAGGAGGTGCGGCGGTTGGCTGAACTGGCAGGCGCGGGGGTTGTAAGGGAGGGCCCACGGCGGCTTTAAGGGAGGACCCGCTGCGTGCCCAACGAGTAGGCGCGGTGGCGGGCGGTACGGGCAGGCGCGGCGGCTGTAAGGGAGAGCCCGCGGTGGCTTTAAAGGAGGGCCCGCGGCGGCTTTACGGGAGGGCCCGCGGCGGGCCTAACTAGCAGGCACGGCGACGGGACGAGCGGGCCCGCGGCCGGGCCTAACGAGCAGGTGCGGCGGCGGGCGGTACGGGCAGGTGCGGCGACAAAATGTGGGGCGCCGCGGCAACGAAATGCGGGGCGCCCCAGCGACGAAATGCAGGGCGTCGCGGCGACGAAATTCGGGGCGCCGTGGCGACGAAACACGGGGCGCCACGGCGACGAAATGCGGGGCGCCTCGGCGACGACGAGCACGCGTTTAGGGCAGCGGGGGGAGGACGCGACGCGACGGGCAGGGTGGGAGGGCACGTCGCGACGAGCAGCGGGGGAGGGCGTGGCGGGAGGGGAAGCCGGGGAGAGCGTGACGCTATGGGCAAGGGGGGAAGGCGCTACGCTACGCGGAAAGCGGGTCGGCGGAGCAAGCGCTAACGAACGAGCGAGACTGGATCGGGCCGGCGCTAACGAACGAGCGAATCTGGATCGGGCCGGCGCTAGGCTCGGGCAAGATAGGTACGAGAGAGCGAGACAGGCTTGGGCGGAACGAAAGAGGACAAGAGGTGCGGGATCCCACAGGAACCTAACCTAGGTGATACCATGTCAAGAATGCAAGTGTTGTGCTCTTGATGAGGGTTGGGGTACATATACCGTCATACCCCGGATATAAGCACCACCCGCGGATAAGCGCCTAGCGCTTTTAATTGGCGTGTGGCGCTTATATCCGGTGCTCGATTATAAGCGCATACCTAAAAGGCTTACAGATTATAACCGCATACCTATACCGTACACATTATAACCGCCACCCTGGTTTTTTGTTGTTTTTTTAATTTGAAGATATTTTATACATTTAATCCACTAGCATATCATGTTACTTAATCTACAACTAGTTTATCTACTTCCAGTTAATCTACTTCTACCTACGAGCCTCACACAGGCTTCACCATTTTCTAGAATTCTACCCTACTCTAATCATCAGCTACAGTGGGGTAATCTGGGTCGGCCTCAGAGTCCGACTCAGGTTCCTCTACGTTGTTGCAGAAGAAACCGTCTACTGCAATTTCATCATCCATGTCAACCTCCTCGCCCTCGAGCTCGTCTCGCCTGTGTTGCAGGCAGAGCTTGTCCTGGGACCCATCCAGGGCGTTGCTGATGCCGCAAGTGAGGAACGCCCGTTGAATGAGCTCCTTGGGCACGAACTTCTAGGCCGTCGAGATCCACTTGAGCGTCAGCTCGAAAGGAGGCTTCTTGATGTTGCCTGCCACGCAAATCCACAAACCGGGTCAGCACGGGTTAAAGAAATAAAAACATAATCAGTGCTGCACCTCTCACCTTTCTTCGTCAAGGTGTCGACCCCCTCACGCTCAAACCACTCCTGGTAGAGCTGGCGAACGGCGGCCTTGAAGGAGCCGTTAACCGCGACGTCGAGGGGTTGAATCTCCGAGGTGCAGCCAGCAGGGATAACCGCAGGGACCAGGTTGAGCTCGCCAAACTTCTTCACCTCCGGGGTCAGGTGCCCGCGGTACGAATCGAAGACGAGCAGAGCCTTACGGGGACGGACTCCGAACTTGGGGTTGATGTACGGCTTCACCGCCCCGTCCAGCCACTCGATGACCCCGTCCGCATCCATCCAACCGTTGGGATGGACCCCCACGTGGATATCTGCACAACATAAAAACCACGATGTTAGTTACCGTACGTTTATTACCTGAGATGAACATGCCACCGCGTAATCGACGTGTGCTTCATACCTGAAGGAAAATCTCCTTTGGGGACGGTCTTCCTTTTGAAGAAGACCCACGGCTTCAACTTCTCCCCGCTGGCGGTGCAGGCGAGCATCACGGTAACCCGCTCTTTCTGGTAGCCGCCGCTGCGGACGGGCACGGAGCGCGAGCCAACCTCTTCAACGGTGCGTTCGGATGGCATCTCGAGCCAGAGGGGCGTCTGGTCCGCGTTTAAGATCCACGGCAGGTCGATCTTGTACTTGCGGCGGGAGTGACGCACGTACGTCCAGAAGCTCTTAACATCAGTCTCGCAGTCTGGGACACGGGATGGGAGGAACAGAAAGCACAAACACAGAGTGAGAGCCGTGAATAGATGGTTCATACAAACAACAACACCACCAAATAACTCACTTGACGAGAGCTTCTGGCCGACCCGGGTCTTCGCTCTGGTCGTCAGGTTCCAGCGGCGCCGAAAGCGCTGAGTCCACCACTGAGAGCCGGCCCACTTTTCACCTGGGTGTAACTCTTTCATCACCTCGTGCGACCACTTCTGCAGTTGTGCGATCGAGACGGCGAGGCACTTCTTGCGGTGGGCGAGAAACCTCCGGTACACCTCCGCTTCCATGTCGCGATACCACGAGCTCCTTCCGCGGCCGTGCAGGCGACAGCGTGCACCGTGCGCGCCCTCAAGCTCAGCCTTGCGGTTCTTCCACTCCGTGAGACACCTCCGGGAGATGCCGGATTCACGAGACATGCCCCGCACACTCATCTCTCCGTTTTCGAGCTTCATAATCCATTGCAGCTTCTCATGCGAGGTGTAGGAATTGCGCCTGTGCTTTGTCGGCTTGTGCCTGGGGGAGGGAGAACGGGCATCACGATTATCGCGAGATGGGTGGGGCCTTTTTTTATTCGGAGGGGGGAAGGAGGGAATTGGAAGGTGCTCGGGGAGACCGTCAGCAGCCCAGAACTCCACGTCGTCGTCTGCACCGGTTGCGGATTCGTCCAACGGGCAATCAGCCGGCGCTCCCCACCGTTGCTCCGGTGTGGAGGAAGATCCTTCGCCGCCGCTGCGTTCAGGGTCTGACAGGAAGGCGTCGAACGCCGAGTAGCCAGGCGGGAGGAGAAGCTGCAGGACCCCCTGTCCCGGAACACAAACAGCAGGCGGGACAGGAGGGGCCGGAGGAACGGGAGGAATAGGAGGCGCCGGGGGAGCGGGAGGGGTAGGAGGCGTAGGAGGAGTGGGAGGAACGGGAGGCACTACTGGTTGTGATGGAGGGACGGGCGCAGGGCGCGACTGCCATTGAGAGTAGTCACGGGTGTCTCTGCAGGTACTTTCTCTAGCAGCAGGTTGGCGGCGGAACAAGAAATGTGTGCCTGGAAGGCCCGCCATGGCCACGGCAGGCCAAACGAAGAAAGAAAACTGAATCAAAAGTTGAGAATGAGGGCCGTATGAAGCCCTCGCCCGAGACCCCTTCAGTTTTGCGGCCCGGCTTCCTCTGCGGGGAAAGTGTGGCCACTGTTAAGATTCCCCGCAGAGGAGCTGTGTTGGGAAGCTCTTTGCCTCTGTGGCAGGGAATCTTGATGTTGATGGGCACGTCGTGGCTGAACCACGACGTGCCCACGATCGCATGCAACCATGATTGGGCCGCTGTGATGCGAAGAACGTGTGCGCTGGCATGGGCCAGGTTCACGTTCGATGAACCTGGCCTGACCAACAAGGCGTGGAAGGCGTCATGCCACGCCTTGTTGGCCGTTTCACGCGCAAAGCATGCACAATTTAGAACGTTTTCGAATCAGGTGAATTCGCCTTTTGAGAGTGCTTCGATTTGGTATATTTAAAAACAAATTTCATTTTTGACATAACATAAACGCCGGCGCTTATAATTTTACTATATTATAAGCCCACCCCCTAAAAAAAACATGTTTTATTAGTGCCCCCCATGGGGGTATATCCGGGGTATGACGGTAGCAAACCCTAACATTTGTGCCCCCTAAGACAAACCTCACTACAGGCTACAACATTTGACATTTATTACATATTTTTTTGATTTCTCTAGAGAAACACAGCCAACAAACAGTTAAGTATACCTACACGCAGCTCTCCTAGCCCTGGCACATTGCCCTACAGCATCCCATCTCGCCATGCCCTGCTGCTTGTACTGGTTAAACACGCTGGGCTTGACACACTCCCTCCACACATTGCATCCTCCAGGCTTGTGCTGCAGGCAGTTGGCAAATGCATAACTTGGCCCCTTCCCCAAGTCAAGGTCGTAGAGGCGAGTCGTGAAGCCATGAGCATTGTTGTCAGCACACATACCCTGTGTGAGGTACAGAGTCAGAAAGAGCCGGGGGTAAGAGATGGAGAGGTAGATTGTAACAGTGATGGAACATACTTGATTGCTGTGCGAGCAATCATGGATTCGAGGAGCTAGCCGATGCAGGAAGGAAAATGCATGATGAGCTTAAGCGGAAGATAAATGAAAGGCAGGAGTGAACACCATTATCCACCAGAAGTTTCAAGGATACTCTGAACTGAAGAGAACATGTCCAGCCTGTGAAGACCATGATCCACTCTGAGCTCCAGCTGAAGGTTCCTAGAGCTATGCATATTTTGCAAAACAACACGAGCTCATTGCCAGCAACAAACTCATTCTTCCCTGCTAGTACTACTACTTTCCACCACGAGTTTTGGGACGACTCAAAACTCGATTGACGAGGTTGCACGCTTGCACTATCCCTTGAGGATCTAAGCCCACCTGTGTTTGTCGATTCTAACAAGGCCCAGCTCTCCGCACAGTCAGACTTGTTTTGAAGAATAACTCAGTGATTAGCATAGTCGCAGCCTTCATTACCATTCCTTACCACTCTCCACCACAATCTGTGTACTGTAACATCCTTCCACTATTCTTTCAGCGAAACTCCAACTCACCTGCGGGAATCGAATGCCATTCTTCACTCCCGCGGAGTTGCCCCAGCTCTCCACATACTCAGCCACAAACACCGCCTTGTTGCGAAGAATGAACTCGTTGGCATAGTCGCACCCGTACTTGCCGCTGTACCACTCTCCACCACTCCAATCCGTGTACTGGTTGCACTCCTCCACCAGCGCCCAGTCAAACAGGCCGGCCATGTAAGCGGGAGCGAGGGAGCCAGCGTTCTTGAGGCCCACTGACATGCCGTACCTGGTAAGGAAGGCGGGAAAAGGAAAAAACATGTTAAAGGCATTGAAAGGCTGTACCTGATAAGAAAGGGTGGCAGGGGAGGGAAGCAGGGGAGGGGAGGGAGAGGGTTTGAACAGGAAGGTGAGGCGAAAAGGAAGGAAAAGGGAGGTAGTAGCATGTGAGCTCTTCAAGCTCCGAGGAAGAAAAAGGGCTAGAATTCTTATATGTTATGCCTGAAGAAAAAAAAAAGGTGGTCCCATGTGGTTACAGGCAGTTGGCATTCATGGGACAAGATCACGCACTTCGCTGACTCATATGTTGGGTGGACTCAGAGCAGTTGGTCTGGACTGTGGAGTAAATGTGTAGATTCTGGGTTTGGACTGGACATTAAGGTCATCCTTACTAGCCGCTGCAAACTTTCCTGAAAAATACTTACCTTCTACCTGCTTCATCTCCTCCATTTCTAGCCAATCCTGTACCAAAACACAGCTCCTTTGGCCAGAAGCGTAACTGAAGCAGCAGACAGGCGGACTTACTTATGCACTGTATTCGCAATCCACGCGTTGAAGTTGAGCTGGTTCTTTCTCGTGATGGTGAACTGGCTGATGGCTTCAAACATTATGTTTCCATTGTATGCATCCACATTGTCCGGCTCTATGCCGTCACACCCCTTGCGCTTGGCCAGCTGTCAACGGGATGGGACAAGCGAGGAGTTGAAAGGGGCAAGTCAGGACTTGGACCACGAAAGGCTGACGGAAAAGACGGAATCTCTCATTTTTCACACCTCCAGCTATGCATGCGTGATGCACAATTTGCACAAGAAGCTGTTTGACACTCGTCTTACCTGAATCCGCTTTTCCAGTAATTGACGCACGGCAGTCCTCTTCACATCCAGCCACCGCTCGCCCTGCCATGCTTCCGAGCAGTCCTGGTTCTGCCAAAAAGAAAGCGAAATCCAAGGTTAACGATGAAGGCCAGGTGACAAAAAACGAGGTAAGCGACTGAACGAGTCTTCATTGTAGAACTTGACCTCTATCGCGTGTAAGCTATTTGCATTCGAACTCACTTGGCACACCAAACCACCGAGAGTGGATCTCGGAAATTGGTTGTAGTCGCTGCGATAATCCTCGGCAGTCCCGAAGCTGAAGTAGCAAATCACCTTCTTTCCCATCGTTTTCAACCTCGATATAGTGCTCGCGGACACGCTGAACCCGTCAACATCGAAGACCTTTTCATTATGCGACGACGCTTCGAGGTTCGTGTCAGAGATCTGCCAGTAGAAGGACGTTCCCGGCGTGGGAACGTACCATCCGTTACTCGTGACGTTAGCAGCGAGGCATACGGCGACGAATGTCAGAGAGACGACAACGCGAAGGCTTCTTGCAATCACATACATGGCGGTAGGGTTGTGGTGTACAAGGGGTGCCGAGGCGGTACGTCGCGGGAAAGTGAGTTGTGCAGGTAATGTATAAGGAGGCGGATAAGGTTAGTACTTCGTCTTGCCACGGCCAGTGCATCTGCTTTATACGCCTTCAAATCATCCGACACTTCGGCGCTTCGGCTTGTGTGCCTGCCGAACCGCAGCGGGAAACAGCAGTTGTACTGCCAAAGCTACGCGTTGGCCTAGAGGGAACTTCATCGCTAGCATTCGGCAATCCTTCACTCCAATCCTTATGCCACGTGGCGAGGCGCGTTGCTTTTCTGATAATGACGCTCCAGTGAGCATGCTCTGGCGTCGCGTTGAAAGAATTTTCCCAAGTGGGAAGAGAATTATTGGAGGAAATGACAGAGCACCGTGTTTTCAAATTTCCAATTCCAATGGGCAGTGGTTTTGACAGCGCATTGCTCTGCGCTCGCGTCCAATACCTTGGGGCATATTATTTCTCAGTTTCCCCTTTTAAGTCCACAAATACAAGTTGTTTTTAGTTTACGGGGTATTGAAAATGTATTCGTCGAGTCCATGGCAAACGCTCAGCTCGGGACAAAAAAAATATAACCCTCATGGATGGTATGCCACGAAGAGAGCATCAACCCTAAACACCATGAGGCGAGGTGTTTAGGGTTGATGCCTCCCAAATGGCTTGTCATCCGAGTGGGTTTTAGTTTTTCCACTGGCCTCTATACTGAACCCAGGTAACTTACGGTAGTATTTGCCCTTCTATACGTTTGGTCATGAAAAACGGGAAACAGCAATATAAACTGACCGCGGGAATTGGGCGCGAGCGCGGTGAGAGTCGCTGTCAAAGCCACTGCCGAAAGGAATCAAAAACGCGCAAACACGGCGGTCCGTCATTTCCTCGAATTATTGGTGTGTGGTGGTTCATGGAGGAAGCTGAGTGTAGGCAGCAGCGACGTTGGTGCTCATCTTGGTGACCCGCGACGCGACGTCGTCCGCCTGGGTGCAACGTCGTTCCTGCTTTCCTGTTGCTGCGGCTTGTGATGTCGGGGGCGTTGAAAACTGAAACGCGGAGACTAACGATGTGTAGCCGTGTCTGACAACAGAAATTTCATAGGGGTTGTTGTACAGTTTTTTATTTCGCCTGTTCAATACACTTATACAACAACAATAGCGGATCACAGTGGTCCCCACCTCAGGTTGTTTTCGTTGAGAAATTTGTTGGTCACCAGATTTCTCGCTACCACCAGCTCGGTGCTGCGCTGGAATCTGGATCCCTGAAAATCTACTGCGTGTAACGCAGCCCTCCAAGATACTCGCGAAGGATTCGGCTTTGCGAACAGATCACACTAGGTAGACACTCGCGAGCTCATCTAGCGAGATCCTGCGAGCAGGTTACTTGCTACATCGTGCAGCCCAGGTTCTGCGCGCCTCTGCTACCTCCCGTTATCCAAAGTGGACGTCGAGACGCGACGCGAGTCCAAAATTCAACAGATGTAGCTTTTCTTGGAGAGCTTCCATGAAACTCACTTCTTTTGCCACGTGGCAAGACGTTCCTTGGCTTAGGAAACATGGCTCACGCTCACATGCGACTCGTTCCACACGACGGCACACGCCATATATTCTATATATCCTGGAATCGTACTCTCATTGTGATCACATAGAAACAAGATAACTACCTCGCTGACAGCATCGTGCTAAGCTCATACGATTATTACGCCTACAATGGCACTATTTCGCGTTTATCCTAGCATCCTCGCCCTCCTTGCCGTTCTTTCGATGTGCCATTGTGGGAGAGTTAACGGGTGGTATGTGCCGAAACCAGGGACCACATTCTTCTGGCAACTAAGCGGAAGTGACGCTGGTACTATTGACCGTTCGTTTTCCTTTTCGTAATCGCCTTCCTGAAACCTTGTTCGTAATGAGCTTCATAATGTGAATACCCGACATTCTCGCATGGTCGGTCACCTGTTATTGCTCGCGCAATGTACCGAAACCATCGTTAGCATCTGAAGTGCTGTTTGTTCTGCTTTTCTTTTTTCGAAAACCTCTAGACGTGGATCCAACACACCCGGCGAAGGTCTACACCGTTGACTCCAGCTTGACGGCGAAGAGCATCGCGAAACTTCGCAACGCGGGAAAGGCGGTGATGTGTTACATCAGCTTCGGGACTGCCGAGGATTACCGCAGCGACTACAACCAGTTCCCGAAATCCGTTATTGGGGGACTCACTTGCAGGGTACGGTACTTGATGCTTCCAATTTTATCAGTCCGCAGAGGATACGGTTTTCTTTTGCCTTTTTCAGCAATTCAAGAATCGCCTTTCGCGGTTGTGACAGGCTTATGTCGAGAAAATGAGTTTTTTTGCACTTTCATTTTCGTCATAGTCGTGTCGAACATTTGCTTGCTGCGTGTGAGCAGAACGAGCAGTGCACGGAGGTGTGGCCTGGAGAGAGGTGGCTGGACATCAAGAGCCCCATCGTCAAGACTATAATGGAGAAGCGAATCAAGGTGAGGCATCCACACTTCCCCTATGCATCACCTGCCTGTGATTGGAGGGTGACCGGTTACCGATGTGTGGCCTGGGGAGAGGTGGCTGACATCACGAGCCGAGCCACATTGTGAAGACGATCATGGAGGCGATTCAAGGTGAGACATGCTGTAACATATGGAGCTGTAACACATATAGCCTTTTTTTCCGGGGCTGCACCATGCTGAGCCATACCATGCTGAATGAATACCCATGTTTACAACCTATGTCGGTAGCTCCTGATGTCTGTCCCACCATCCTCTTTTCTTTCCCGCATGTCAGTTGGCGAAGAGCAAGGGGTGCGATGGGGTTGACCCTGACAACATCAACGCGTATTCGAACAACATTATGGCTCAACCCATCAGCAAATTCACCATCACTGCCGATGATCAGTTCAAGTACAACTCATGGATCGCCAACACTGTTCACAAGTGAGTGATGTCCGCATGAATCTTTTCCTGCTGGTTCTGTGCTCCTATTGTTGCTGCAAATCCGCAATATGACAATGAGAGTCGTAGACCAGTGGTTTTCAATATAAAAGGTTTGGTGACTGTTCAAGCCATACCGCATAGTACCTCTTGTCGTTAAGAGCGTTGTGTAGTTACCACCCTCCACTGCTGGCCCTTTCCCTCTCCCATTGTTACACAAAATTCATCCATGCTCAATGCTTCCAATGCTCTTCCAAACCTTCACCCTTTCGTTCCCACAAACAATCCCCTTCCAGGCCCCCTTTCCCCGTTCCCCCCCTGCCTTCGTCCCCCCTTTCTCACATGCTCCCTCCACTTCCCCCCTGCCAGGTGGCATGTGAGTGGATCCCAAGACGTCTGTTGCATGTACCCACGCAATTTACTTTCCCGCCTCCTCCCTTCTATCCCCATTCCCGTCCCAACGCCTTACTTATCAGGTACGGCATGTCAGTGGGCCTCAAGAACCCCGGCCCGCTTGCCCCCTCCTTCATGGCGAACCTCTTCGATTGGGCGATAATCGAGAGCTGCATTTACTTCAGCGACTTTAGCAACAACGCGTGGTACAGTCGCAAATACGCATGCGATTACTCCAACGAGTTTATTGTGCGCAACAAGGCCGTGTTCTCCATTGAGTATAAGGAGCTCTGGGGCACGTCTGCAGGCCAAGTAAACGGCATCGCGTTCCCACAGGTTAGCTTATGATGATTGTGATGATAGCCAATACCTTATTCCCAGCACACGGTTAGTCAGACATGTGGTGAGGGTCATTTGATCTCCGGGTTCATGGTGTTCTTTTCTGAAGTGGCTCGCTGTTTATTCCCCGTCTGTCGCCGCTCCCCTCTTTCCAACCTCACCTTAACTTCCACCTTGCAATGTCAACTCAATTGTCAACCCTTACTTCTCTGTCCCCACTTCTTCCACCTCTTTCTCTCTCTCGTCAGGCTATGTGTGCAATCAGCAACGCTCACGGGTTCAACACCAACCTCTGCAGTTTTTCCCTTGGCACCGGCCCTCGCTACCCCTTTGCCAACTGCCCTCTGCACAAGCCTGCAGGGTGTGATACTGTGTGGAAGGAGTGTGTGAAGCAGAGTGTGTATGCGCAGTACAAGAAGCAGGGCATGGCAAGATGGGATGCTGTTGGGCAGTGCATGAGGGCTAAGAGAGCAGCGTGCAAATACAAGGCTTGAACAAGGAGGAGATATCATTCTTTGAACTTATACCGTAGTGGGTGATGGGGAAGTCACTGGTTAGACTGGATCAACTAGTCTTAGCATGTACGAAATTGTTTAGTTAGAATTTTGCAATTGCTATTATTCAAGTGTGACCACACGCCAAACATGCCTGGATAGGTGTCTATCAGCTGTGTGGCATGGCGAGGCATGGCATGGCATTCCCAGTTAGCCACCACTGCTGCGCGTCTCATAATTGCGCTGCCTTGGGATGGCTGTCAGTCAGTCATGGTGTCCATATTATATAGGACATGGCAATCCCTTACCGGAGGAAACTGTTCTAAGCTAAGCACAGTGTGTTCCTCTAGCTGTCCAGCCAGAATCCTGTCACCTACAATAGAACAAGGTACAGTGCACCCTCCACTGGATAGCCACCTGTCTCCCTGGCTGCTTCTCCTCTTCTCGCGATGCGCTTCTTCAAAAGCACCTCAATGAGCTTACGATCGATCTCCCGTGACGTCGTCACGTTTGATGAATCATGTCCCTCTTCGTCCGCTACCCTCACCGAGGTCTCCCGTTTACCCCCTTCCTCCCCTCTTCCTCGTTCCC